GTCTTGAACTCACAGCAATCCTCCTGCCTCAGCCTCCCAAGTGCTAGGATTACAGGCATGCGCCACCATGCCTGGTTAGCTTCAGTATTTCTAAAGTGGCATTCTCATCCAAACTGATTTCATTTGCAAAACAATCCCTACTGAAATTTCACCTGGCTTTTTTGTAGAGATTAACAAACTCATTCTAAAATTCATATGGAAACACAAAAAGCTAGGATAGCCAAAAACAGTCTGAAAAACAACACAGAAGACTTACACTTCACGATCTCTGAACTTAACTATAAAACTACAGTAAGACAGTATGGTACTGGTGTAAAGAAGATACACAGATCAGCAGAACAAAAATAGTAGTTCAAAAATACGCCTTAATATTAATGGTTGGTTTTCCACAAAAGTATCAATAAAGTGGAATGGAAAAAGGATAGTCTTTTAAAAAAAGACAGCCTTTTTCAACAAACGTTGTGAAAATAACTGTACATCTATGTAAAGTAACTCAAGGTAGACTGTAGACCTACATATAAATACTAATATAATAACACTTTTAGACAAAAACAGAGATTTTTTTTTTTTTTTTTTTTGTCTTTTTGAGACAGGGTCTCACTATACAGTTCAGGCTGTTCTTCATCTCACTATGTAGCCCAGGCTGGCCTCAAACTCACAGCAATCCTCCTGCCTCAGCCTCCCAAGTTCTGGGATTACAGGTGTGCACCACCACACCCAGCTCAAAAGATCATTTTTGGGATCTTGTGTCAGGCATAAATTTTAACATCAGAAGGCCAATCCATTAAAAAAATATTGATAAGCAATAAGACATCATTAAGAAAAAGAAAAGAGTATCTCATGTTATTAAAAAACTTTTGCACAGTAAGAGAAACCAGCAACAGAGTGAAGAGACAACCCACAGAGTGGGAAAAAAATTTTGCTAGCTGGTCCTCAGACAAAGGACTAATATCTAGAATATATAAAGAATTAAAAAAAATCAGACTCCCTAAATTTAAAGACCAAATCCCAAAATAGGCATTTGAAATCAATAGACACTTCTCAGATGAAGAAGTAGAAATGGCAAATAAACACAAGAAAAAATGTTCAATATCACTGGTCATTCAAGAAATGCAAATTAAAACAACACTCAGATTCAATCTCACTCTAGAAAGAATGGCTATTATCAAGAAATCAACCAATAACAAATGCTAGAAGGATTGTAGGGGAAAAGAAACCACTCTCCACTGTTGGTGGGAGTGTAAACTGGTACAACCACTGTGGAAATCAGTGTGCAGATTCCTCAAAAAACTAGAACTAAGAAGCTGGGTGTGGTGGTGCACACCTGTAATAGCAGCACTTGTGAGGCTGAGGCAGGAGGATCATTGCGAGTTCGAGACCAGCCTGGGCTACAAGTGAGCTCAAGACCAGTTTGAACTGCATAGTGAGACCTTGTCTCAAAAAGAAAAAAAACAAAAACAAACTAGGACTAGAGGTCCCATTTTACCCAACTCTTCCTCTTCTTGGTATCTTCCCAAATAATGAAAAGCATTACAACACAGTGATATATGTGCACCCATGTTTATAGCAGCTCAGTTTGTAATAGTTAAATCTTGGAAACAGCCCAAATGCCCATCACTGATCAATTGATAAAGATGTGGATTTTTTCTTAATACAATGGAGTGCTTCTCTGACATAAAGAAGGATAAGCTTGAGACATTTCTAGCTAAATGGATACACCTTGAGACCATACCCTTAAGTGAAATAAATCAGACACACACATAAATATTGCATTGTTTCTCTGGTGTGAGAAACTGAAAGTATAAATAAGGACCAAAATGTATAATAGGCACTGTGAAAAAGGAAGAAAATGTTCAAATGGAAAGGTGAACTAGGGAGGGAGGAAAGGGAATGGAAGGAAGGGAAAAGAAAAAAAAACAAGAAGGAAAAAATGGAAACAAAGCTTTTCTAAATGAGAAGGGGTAGAGGGATTGAAGGGAAGGTAGGGGAAAGAGAAAAAAAAAGAATCAAGTTATATCATATACAGGTACAAATTCCTGATAATGAATGTGATCATTATGTATATCTAAAATGTACCAATAAACTTACTTAGTTTTTAAAACCTAAATATAAATAAATACCATGTTGTTTCTCTGGTGTGAGAAACCAAAGTGTAAATAAGGACCAAAATGTATAATAGGTATTGTGAAAAAGGAAGAAAATGTTCAAATGGGAAACAGACCAGGGGAAGGAGAGGGGGAAAGGAAGAGAAAAGAAAAAAGAGAAAAAATGGAAACAAAGTTTTTGTAAATAGGGAGAGGAGGGGTGGGGTTGAACAGAGGGGAGGGGAATGGGAAGAAAAAAAAGAATCAAGTTACAGCTAGTACAGGTACAAATTCCCCATGATGAATGTGATCATTACATATACCTCAAATGTACCAATAAATGTAATTAAAAAAATAGAGAAGCTACACCCTGTAAGAAAATATTTGGAAATCATACATCTGAAAACAGACTTCTGTCCAGAACACATAAAGGTCTCTTATAACTCAGTAATATAAAGACTGACAACCTATTTAAAAAATAGGCAAAAGATTTAAATTGGGCCTGGCATATAGCTCAGTGGCACAATGCCTGCCTGGCAAGCACGAGGTCCTGAATTCGATTCCTGATACCAAGAAAACAAAAAGTGACATCTCACCAAAGGTGACATATATGAATGATAATAAGTACATTCAAATATGCTCAACAGCATCAGCCATTAGGGTAAACTAAATTAAAATCACCATTTAAAACACACTAGAGTGCATGCCTGTAATCCCAGTACTCAGGAGACTGAGGTAGGAGGATCACTGCAAGTTCAAGACCAGCCTGGGCTACAAAATGAGCTCAAGTCCAGCCTGAGCTGCACAGCGAGACCCTGTCTAAAAAGACAAAAATAAATAAATAAATAAATAAATAAATAAATAAATAAAACACACTAGAGGCAGAAGATATAGCTCAGCAGCACGGCACCTGCGTGGCAAGTGTGAGGTCCTGAGTTTGATTCCTGGTTCAGAAAATAAAATAAAATAAAACATACTAGCATGGCCATAATGAAAAAGATCAGATACTACCGAAGATATAAAGAAATGAGAACACTCATACGCTGTTAACAATGTAAAGTATTGGGGAACTTTGGAAAACAGCATGGTAGTTTCTTAAACAGATTCAGTAGTTTATGCTTGTCAAACAACGGTTTTGTGTAAACACTCTCTACCTATATCCTCAAAACAGCCTTTTATCATTGGAAAAAAGAAAATAAATAGTAGTCTACTACACTGCAATTAATCAAAATAGTACTGATTGGTACAATCAAACTATACAATAAACATCAAAATTAAGATTTCTTTTCTAATTCTCACACTTAGGAGTCTAATAACTGCTCTTCTCTGACCTGACATTAGCAGCAGGCAGAACACTACTGAACGGCAAGGGAACACGACGTTGACCCAGTGCCGTGCAGCAAGCTACGGGGTGTAGCCCTCCCACCAGAGAACTTCAGGCTTCAAGAGGGTGTTCTGCCTAATCACAGAGCTCTGACTGCCAGTGTAAAGCTCTTTGTTCTTTCCTCTCTTTCATAAGATTTGGTAAGATTTCAAGGGTTTCCTTTCAGTCTAAGACTGAATCCAGTATCTGTAAATAATACATTTAATCTCTGACTCTAACACATTCACCTAGGGTATATGTATATCAGAAAAGGTATCTTATAAGGTATTATTAATGTACTAAATATACCTCTAAATACCAAGAGGAATAATTCTTTTTTTTTTTTTTTTTTTTTGTTTTTTCTCTGGTACCAGGAACTGAACTCACGACCTTGCGCTTGCCAGGCAGGCGCTTTTGCCGCTGAGCTAGATCCCCAGCCCCTCCAAGAGGAATAATTCTTAAAAGTAGTCCGTCAAGATGGGTGCAACAGCACAGGCCTGTAATCCCAGCACTCTGGGAGGCAGAAGGAGAAGAATCACAAGCTAAAGTCCCACCTGGGGAATTCAGTGAGACCCTGTCTCAAAATAAAAATAAAAATAAAAATAAAATAAAATAAAAGGGGCTGGGGACATAACTTAGTGGTAGAGCACCTGTGAGTTTGATCCCCTAGTACCACAAAAAAGTATATATATTAAAGTTAGTAAAAAATGACTTTCAGCCAGGCATGTAGTACACACTTGTAATCCCAGCACTTGGGAGGCTGAGACAGGAGGACTGCTGTGAGTTCAAGGCCAGCCTGGGCTACATATCATTCATTATTATATAGTGAGTTCACGGCCAGCTTGAACTATGTAGGGAGATCCTGTCTCAAAACAACCCAAAAATACCCAAACAAACAAAAAACAAACCCGAAAGACTTTAGAATCTCATGTCCCAACTACTTCAGTCAAAATTCAGAAATGTCTAGTAGGGAACGCCGGAGGTATTATTAAATTGTCATCTAGGTTAACCAAACTTCAACCTCAGAATTCATTTACTCACTTAGTAAACATCTATTAAGCTCCTATCATGGGCAAGACACTACCTGTCTTTTTCTCAAGGAAAGTACAACCTTTTCACCATTCCTTTAATCAGTATCTGTGTCATATGATATATATTTGCTCTGAGATCTACCCAAGAATTTTTTGACAACTCCGGGATAATTCTAGCATTCTATAAAGTTTTATTTAAAGCAGTATTGAATGTCCCTGTTTCATTTGACTTATACATATGAATACACAAAAAGCTCATATTTTTGAGGTTTCATTTTGTTATCTTTCATTTGATCTTTGCAACACCAGAGGTACATCTTTTGGTGAGAAAACATTATCATCATGTAAGAATCTACATATTTGGTTGGAAGTTATACTCTTCTCCAAAGGTTTTAATTTAAGTTGCCTCAAAGAAAGTTCCCAACAACTTAAAAAGTAACCAAGGATATAAATAAAGTGGAAGAAATAAAACTGTTCAGACACATTACACATGGAAAACAGCACCCTAAGTTTATACTTTACCTGCAGGTTTGAGGTCCCCTATTCGAATAATGTGTGGCCAGTGCTGAAGTGTTTTAGCAAAAAAAGGGTTGGTTACTCCTAAAATAACTGAAGGCCTATTAAAAACAAAACACAAATTTTAAAGGTAAGAAAAAATGAATGTTAAATTAGTGAAGAATAGTTTCAATTTCTTTTGAGTAATATATAAGTTATCTTTTCCTTTACTCAATGTACTACATATCAATTACATGTCAGGCAACATACTTAACAATAAACCTATAAAGATGAAAAGACAAAATCTTTGCTATAGCACATAGGAAGAAAGGTCTACATACCCAATTATGAGGCCAAAAATTAAAGGACACTGAAGGTGGGATAAAATGCACAATAATCAAAAGGAAAATCTATAGTCTGCAGAGGATTAAAGGACAGCTTTCCCAAAGAGTTGAAATTTACATAAAGACATGAAGGATGAACACGAGTTTTCTGCTAAGGTAAGGGCAATGCAGAACAAACGCCATGTGCCTCCCAAGGAGGCGCTATCATAGTCTACATACAGAGCGACACACAGGCCAGCATTCTTGGAGGACAAACCAGGAAGAACGAGGAGTCAGACTTGAGAGTAGCCAGGCAGAACCAAGCGCATATGCTCAGAAATGCAGATGCTATCTCAGGCAAGGAGAAGCTAGTGGAGAATCAGGTGGAGGCAAGCGTGAGTGAGGACCACTGTGGGGACAATCTGGAAGACATCCTGCACGAGGAGAGGGACTGGGGGAAGCAACAGCAGCTATGAGAAAGACTAGAAACAATAAGACTGGGGAGGGAGCTATTCAAATCTTATGAGGTATTTTAGGATTTAAATTTATAAATTTGGTTAGAATTTGATGTGGGGAATGTTAAGAAGGAGACGTGACAACTAGGTAAAAACTGGTACTATTTAAGAAAAAAAGGAAGAGGCACACAATTAGAGGGAAAAAAAGAGGCAGATAAAAAGAACTCAGTTTGAACATATTTAGTTTAAAATACATTAAGAAGCTAGGTGTGGTGGTGCATGCCCATAATCCCAGCACTTAAAAGGCTGAGGCAGGAGGACTGCTGCAAGTTCGAGGCCAGCCTGGACTACAAAGTGAGTTCAAAGCCAGCCTGAATTGCATAGTGAAACCCTGTCTCAAAAAGGCAAAATAAATAAATAAAATAAAATATATTAAGAAGTACAGGTAATGTCTAAACAACAGCAATAAAAAACCATGAACATACAGGAATGACTCTTGCAGAAATCTGGGGGGAGGAAGATAATATTTCAGTCATTAGTGTAAGGTCTTAACAGAGGCAACTGGTACTGGAAATACTGTAAAGAAAGAATTATCAGTCTGAAATCAGAGCCCAGAACACGATATTGGAGAACATGGAGGGATAGCAGAGAAAAAAGTCTGCAAGGTGTCTACACTGAAATGCACCACCAGTGAGCCAGGGGAGAACAAGAATCAAGGATTAAAATATTCTCAAGATCAAAGAGTAACCGTTATAAGAAAGAGAAGGCAGGAAAAGCAGGCCATAGTGCACCTACTGGGTCAGACAGTGAGAAGAGTCTTGATGAATTTGGAAAAAAAAAATCAGTGGATAAAGAAGGGAACCTGCAGTTAATTTTTCAAAAGCAACCAGGAAATCAAGAAGTGCAGGGGGCTGGGGATTTAACTCAGTGGCACAGTGCCTGCCTGGCAAGCGCAAGGTCGTGAGTTCAATTCCCAGTACCAGAAAAAAACAAAACAAAACAAAAGAAGTGCAGACAGTAAATGGAGATTTTTGTTGCTGTTGTCATCTTCTAGAAACTTAGTTATGAAAAGAAGCAATAGGGGCTGGGGATTTAGCTCAGCGGCACAGCGCCTGCCTGGCAAGCGCAAGGTTGTGAGTTCAATTCCTGGTACTAGAAAACAACAAAAAAACAAAAAAACAAACAAAAACAAAAAAAGAAAAGAAGCAATAAACAGGAGATAAAAGGGAAAAGGAAAGATTATTTTCCCCATTTACAGATTGGAGAGATTTTTTTATAATGACAGTAGAATCAAAATACAGTCTGACGACTATTAATGACAACACAAATTCCATGAGCAAAATCACTGACAGAGAAAATGCTAACTCTTGAAATCTTAAGCTACTGTCAGCAATTCAAACTTTCTTTCATAAATTCTGCCAATAAGCTAAACGTTTAAATTAAAATTTTATTACCAAAAGTAATTCTAGATAACTTGGGTTATAAAGATAATACCTGGTCAATAAAAGTTATTCTGAGGCTGGGGATTTAGCTCAGCGGCACAGTGCCTGCCTGGCAAGCACAAGGTTGTGAGTTCAATTCCCAGTACCGGAAAAAATAAAAAAATAAAGTTATTCTGTTTACTCACGGAGCTTGGGTACGTGTAGTATATTCTCTGAATTCACTATCATGAATAGTGAAATACGGTCGGAAATCACAGAAGTACTTTAATGGAGAAATGCAGCTGCAGAACAGGAAAAATATGTAAAACAATGGACACAGAAATTGAAGGTACTAATTATACTTGTGATCTTACTGGCTGACCATGGTTTTACCCCACCTCATGCCCACCTTGCAACTTCTCATTTTTTCCCCACCTTAGACCCACCCCACCCTGTGCTTTTGCTCTATAAAGTCCTTAGAAAAGGCATGGTCCTTGGCAACCCACTCAGGTCCCCTTCTGTCCCTCTCTCAGACAAGCTTTCTTTCCCTCAATATATTCTAAAGGTTATTCTTCAATTATGAATCATTATACAAACAGCAGATAAGCAATGGGAGAATGAATTTATTTCAATAAGTGGTAAACTCATTTTGGGGAACTAAAAAGAGAAATAGAAATATGCAATGTGAAATGGCAGACAGAAAGAACACTGATGCCAGGGCAGAACGTGGGGTGAAACTCTGGCTCTACCATTCACTAGCTAGGTGCCTTTGATAAAACACTGACCATACATACTACTCATACTTATCAGAGGAGAAATTCACATAAGTGAATGAATGCTTGTCATGCAGAACAACAGAAACACGGATCCAGCCTTCATGGAACCCGATACTTTACTGTCCATAAGAAGACAGTGCTCTAATGAGCACTACCTTCTGATAGGATTGTTATAAGGATTAATGAAATGATGTGTGGGGAAATACATCTGAGATGAGAAAATGCTATCAACATCTCATCACCAGGAATCAAACATACTCACTTAACAAGGGCCAGTACGGTCTCAGACGATTCCGATGGCGATGGTGCCATCACCACAAGGGGTTCTCCCAGCAGCACCAACTCCCAAAGCATCTGACTATGAAGAAAAACTGGGCAGAAACACCTGAGAAGTGTTTACACAGAGATACTGTTTATTTATCCAATCCTGATTTTTAAATTCCTACATAATCATTCTAAAAACTTCACAGTGATATAAATTCTTTCTGCATTTTGTATTTTGGTCTGGCACACAAATTACATATAAAGACTTAAATTCCTTTTGTATAAATAAAAATATATATCAATTTGACTCATTCCAATTTTTATAAAATCATTTTTTTCTTTTGGTACTTTGTGGGGTTGTTTTGTTTTGTTTTTAAGACAGGGTCTCACTATGTGGTTCAGGTTAGCCTTGAACTCACTTTGTCGCCCAGGCTGGCTTCACATTTATAGCAATCCTCCTGCCTCCACATCTTTAATGCTGGGATTACAGGCTTGCACCATCACACCTGGCTCAGTTACTATGAAATGAAATGCAACACCCTGACACACAACATAGCTGATGAACAATAGAAGAGTATAATTTGGGGGCAGGGAGATGAGACAAGATCTGCTATTGTAGTCCAGGCTGGCCTTGATCTCTTGGCAATCCTGCCTCGGCCACCTGAGTGCTCGGATTACTGGTATGCAATAGTATGCCTAACTGAAGTTGTGTAATTCTTAAACTATTTTACCATATGATAAATTTATTTTAATAATACTGCTTTGTTATGTTTGAATTTCCACTGAAGGAAACAAAAAAATAATTTCACAAAGGGGCATTCATGGGATGTACTACTACTGTGCTGGGGATGTAGCCAGTCACAGAGCATATATGTAGCACACAGGAGGACCTGGATTTGACCCCCAGCACTACAGAGATTAGCAATTAGACACTAGAGATAGAAAGGGATAAAGATGGGTTGTTTTTTTTTAATAGTCAAAAGCAGTACTAAGAACGGGGGAAAAAGCAAAACAAGAAGTTTAATCTATAACTGACCATTGAACATGAACTGAGATAACTCACTACTTTGGACCAGCAAAAAAAGCAGATGCTTGTGATATTAAAGAATAACAAATAACAGTAACAAATCACTAGGGAGAGTTCTAATGCTGAATAAAAGAATTACAAGTCATATAAAAGTGCTGCATATTTTTATAGCAGCTCTGGAATTGAATGAAACCACAACTCTACTAATACTTACTAAGCCTCAGACATTTGGAACTTTTTAGTTATTCAGTTAATTTTTCCTTAGTTTGGTAACAATTTTTCCTAACAGATTATGGGGGGGGCACTCTTATCTATTTGTGAAGATCATAAACAATCTAAAACAATTAAAAACAAACACACACAGGGCTGGCTGAGTGCTTACCTAGCATGCATGAGACCCTGGATCCCATCCCTGGAACAAAACCAAACCGAGGGCTGGGGATATAGCTCAGCGGCACAGCGCCTGCCTGGCAAGCGCAAGGTCCTAAATTCAATTCCCAGTATGAAAAAACAAAACAAAACAAAACAAAACAAGAAAACCCCACATATACACACGCTATGGCTTATGTCTAGATGTCCCCCTCCAAAGCCCCATACGGTGAAAGGTGGGGCTTTTTCAGAGGTGGCTGATTGTATAATGTGTGATGCTGGGATCAATGCTAGGATCAAGGGCACTAGGATTAGAGATGTAAGTGCTACCCACCCTAAGTAGCCTGGATAAGATATAAGGGATAAAGAGTTGTGGTCGACCCTTGATGCTTTTGCTACCTTCTACCTGCATGAACTGTTTCTCCTCTGCAATCCCTGTCTGCCACGCCACCTGTCTTGGAGCTTGCTGACTGTGGACTGAAACTTCTACAAACAGTAAGCGAAATAAACCTTTCCCTCTTTAACTCCGGGTGTCGGGCATTCTATCTCAGCAACCAGAGAAAAGTAATAAGAAACACAAAGAAGAAAAATAAAAGTAACATTTAAGTGCAAAAATATGCAACAAATATGAGGTGGAAATTAGGAGAGTTAATTTTAATTACTCAAAGGCAAAAAGGACATGTGAAGGAAGTGCTCCCACAAGAAAAGACAGCACAAGGACAAGGACAAGAGGCTCTTCCTCTTCCCTTCCTACTTGAATCCTGAAGCAGAACAAGGCAGACATTTCTATGCTGAGGGGAAGACAGCCATATTAGCCCGGAGGTGAGTAGCAGAGCTTGTGTGAGAAGTAGCCATCCCTGTGCCGGGAGTAGCCTATAGCCTGCTCTGGAGCCTGGAGAACCTGTGCGTGGTATGGAAGGTGTACGTGGGGGTGGTGACCTGGTTTGGGGTACAAAGCCCAGAAAGCACGTGCTGAGAAAGCACGGAGTGGCAGCAGTGTGTAACATCAGAGGCACCAGGGGTTGAAGAGGCTGCCTGCGGTATGAGAACACCGGGCACACGTCAGAGCAGGGGAACGAGGTTATCGCTACGGACAAGCAGCCTGCAGTGAGGTGTGCAGAGACACAAGTGGAGCACTGAGAGTCAGAGCCCAAGCAGGACAAAGATGCCACCCACTCACAGAGGTAGCCTCGCGGGATATGCGAACCTGAACGGGACGAGAAGGCGTCCACGTGAGGGTCAAGCGAGCAGAGTGAAATACTGAGTGGGATTACTAAGCAGAGTAAGGAAGGACACTGTGCAGAAAGGTAGGCAGGCAGAGTATCAGAGCCCACGAAGGGTGAGAAAGGCACCTGCGCAAAGGACGGGGTTGCAGCAGAGAGGAGATACTGCATACTAGCGGGGGATGGATCAAATCAATAAATAAAAATTAAAATAGTATGAGGCAGCCTCTCAGAAAAAAGAAATAGGAATATGTAAAGGGAGAAAAACCAGCATGAACCATGTCATGCTGCACTGGAATCAAGGGTATCATTTGGAGTTTATGACTTCCAAGACATGCTAATACAGAACTAAATGTGTGTGTGATGAGTGTTTACATGTGCATGCATTTACATGCGTGCACACACACACACTAAGACAGCCCAACAGCAATAATACTCCATAACTGTTGTCTGCCCTGCCAGTGAACACAAAGCCCAAATCACTTCATTCTCAAGTTTCAAGGCAGAGATAGGAGGGAGCCGGGGATGTAGCTCAGCAGCACAGCACCTGCCTGGCAAGTGCAAAGTCCTGAGTTTCATTCCCGGTACCAAAAAAGAAAACAAGAAAAGAAAATTTTACCAGGCGTGGTGGCGCACACCTGTAATCCCAGCACTCAGGAGGCTGAGGCAGGATATTATTTCCACAATATCCCTTGCAAATTTGAGACCAGCCTGGGCTACAAAGTGAGCTCAAGGCCAGCCTGAATTGCATAGCGAGACCCTGACTCTCATTCACACTTATATAAAATGTAAACTCTACATACAAAGTAGAGATTATAAAATATCAATCCAATAATCAGATATTAAATGCTTAATAGTACTACTACTCTGAGATTATTTTTCAAGGTATATTTTTCTCATCTCTTGAGAAAGAAGAACTAAAAAATAACCTGTCCAACTTTGAAAACAATAATATATAATTTATATTCAGGAGAAGAGACACATTCTAATCAAATGTGTTACCAATGGGGGTAATATTACCACCAAAACACAGATGACTGGTATAAGAAGGTGTAAAACTCATTCCTAGAAATTTTTTTAATGGTAATTTAATTTTATATTAATTTCTGCCCATTCCTCAAAATATTCCTTAATAACTCAAACATTACAATACCATCCTTCTCATACCAAAACAAAAAACAATTTGTTTTTCTCATGTAATTCCCAAACCATATCCAAATTTTCCTGTCCAAGTTCATAAAATCCAGCCAGGGATGAACCACTGATTTTTTTGTGTGAGACAGGCTCTCACTATGTATGTAGTTCAGGCTGGCCTTGAACTCACCGTGAGCCCAGGCTGGCCTTGAACTTGCAGGGATCCCACACACACACACACACACACCACTCAGCCTCCCAGGTGCTACCATTGATCCTTTACCATGTGAAATAAACATCCTCACCCAACTTTTTTCCACATCATCTATAAGAACATCTATTTTCTAAATAAATTAACAAGTAAGACAAAGCAAGAGATAAAAGGTATTTTTTTTTACCTGAAAAGATCCACCTCATGAACAGTAGGTAAAATAACAGATATGTGTGTATTTGCCTAAGAGACAAAAAGGAAAAACAATAAAGATATCACTAAGATTTGCAGAAACTGATTTTTAAAACATGCCTATCTAGTTCATGATCAATAAGCCAGGTCACCCTGTCTACCTTATTTTAAGATTTATCTCCTCCAGAAGCAGCCAGAAAGAGAAAGGATCTTACTGATCTCCCACAACACAGCCCAAGACAGAAAATACACAGATACCATGGATAAGGAATTGTCCAGGAGTCAGATGTTAGTTCACAACTGCATGAAACACCATCATTTAAACCAGTTTATATAAAGAACAGGAAAAAAAAAAAAATCAGTCTTCTTACTGCCCTCCATTTTTATTCAATTCAAAGAACAAAGGGCCTGCTAACATACCAGATAAAACATTTCAGCCCCACCCATGGACAGATGTTTTCAGAGAAAAGAAAGGGAATCATAACCACAAAATCTTTTTGACAGTCTCCTAAAATCAGAAGTCTCCTGGCCACTCTTCTAAGATAAAAGGTATTCCCAGAATTAACCCTTCTTGAAAAAATACCTTCCCCTTGTGCTAACAATTACGGTATACTGAGTTCTCCAGTGTCTACTGGAGAAATAACAAGAAACAAGAGAAAGTTTATTATCAACGCACTGGAAAATTACTTCACAGAGTATTTCCACAATATCCAGAAATATATAACAAACCCAAGAAATCATATCTGCCAGTTTAAAAATTCTGTGATCAATTACCATGTTCTACACACTACCTGTTGAGTTAGCTGTGTTATTTGAGTAGTTCCAGGCTTGTCATGACATGTAGGAATCCGTACCTTAAAAAGACAAGAAATTATCTTTGGCTATAAATGAACAAGGGATCAAAAGTGCCCTATTGTGTTGCTGTAAAGGTGTACTCAGGAATGCCTAAAAAGGCAGTAGAAAATGTATCAGATTAGCCTGGCCCAGTGCTAAGCAGGCTGAGGCAGGAGGATCTCTACTGAGTCTGAGGTTAGCCTGGCCACATACTGAGTTCAGGGCCAGCTTGAACTACATAGCAAGACCCTGTCTGAAACAAAGAAAATAAAACAAAAACAAACAAAAAAAGTCATGTCAGATTAAAAAACTAAGGCTAAATTCCAGCAAAAAGTGCAAGGTCTCCATATTCACAAAGAAAAATCACTAACCTACTGAGAAGCAAATGTGCCAAAAAACACAAAAAGGACATCACACCATTTCCTGTTTATTGTTCCAATCTTTGCTTCATTACTGTGCACACACCCAAACATACCCCGAGCTTGCCAAACTCGGATAAATGGCGCAAGAAACAATGAGCACTCTCAACCCAGGCCTATCAGGATAACTTGTGATGATTTCCGAAGGAGAGGATAGAACATACAAAAAACGAGCAAACCATACTGGGAATGGTGGTGCACACCTGTAATCCCAGCACTTGGGAGGCTGAGGCAGGAGGATCTTTGTGCATTCGAGACCAGCCTGGGCTCCAAAGTGAGCTCAAGGCCAGCCTGAACTGCATAACGAGTCCCTGTCTCAAAATGACCAAAAAAAAAAAAAAAAAAAAAAAAGAGCAAACCTAAAGAGACAACACTGTCAAAAATAAATCCAATCTGACAGTAAATTGCAAAGTACTTAAAAGTATACTCATACAAGGTTTAAAATGTTAATAAAATGCTAATACATTAAAAAAAAAAAAAGCAACAACTCACAAAATAACCCTAACAGAGAATACCCTAGGAAGAACATGTCCGCATTGACATTACATGTTAAGAGTATGACTGCTGAGTGTGGTGGTACATGCTTGTAATCCCAGAACTTGGGAGGCTGAGGCAGGAGGACTGCTGAGAGTTCAAGGCCAGGCTGGACTACACAGCGAGTTCAAAGCTAGCCTGAGCTACAAAGCAAGACCCTGCCTAAAAAAAAGAGAAAGATTACTTAGAACTGAGAACCAATAGCTTTCCTAATTTCTCTGAATTTACAGTAATTCAAACTTAATTTTTCAAGTCATCTGTTTCTACTATAAGCCATCCCTGAAGGCACTGGTAGGGACCTGGAGTTGCAGGATTCTAGGAGGTAGCACGTACATTCACATGCATCACACAGGAATGACATCCTGTGCAAACAGGATGCAATGGGACTGCAGACATGTGAAGCTGTGTTACTATGGACTGTGTGAAGCCGGATGAGTTTGCTATCTCTAATGCCGCTCATCAAGGACAAACAAGTGAAAGCAAAACACTGCTCAGAGTCATTAAGAAGTTAAGAAAGCAAAACCCATGTGTGAGCTTCCCTACAAGTTATTCTATTTTTTAAAAATTATTTATTTTGAGACAGGGTCTAGCTATGAGGCCCAGGATGGCCCTGGATTCACTATATACACCAGGCTGACCTCAAACTCACAGCGATCCTCCTGCCTCAGCCTCTCCAGTACTGGGATTACAGGCGTGCACCACCGCATCTAGTTACTGAGTTGTTTTAAAAGGGGACAAGAGGGCCCAGGGGTAGTGGTATGTGCCTATAATCCCAGTACTCAGGAGGTCGAGGCAGGAGGATCACTGAGAGTTTGAGGCCAGCCTGGGCTACACAGTGAGTTCAAGGCCAGCCTGAACTACATAGGCAGAGAGGGAAGGATGGAACAAGGGAGTGGGAGAGAGAGAGAGAAAGGGAGAGACAGAGAGAGAGAAAGAGGCAGACAGAGAGAGACAGACAGAGGAGAGCAAGAAAGGAGAGGAGAGAGAGAGAGAGAGAGAGAGAAAGAAAGAAAGAAAGAAAGAAAGAAAGAAAGAAAGAAAGAAAGAAAAGAAAGAAAGAAAAAGAAACAAAGAAAGAATGAGAAAGAAAGAAAGAAAGAAAGAGTAGAATAGAATAGAACAGAAGAGATAAGAATGAGACAAGTGAGATAGCTATAAATCAAGGATGGTGAATCTTTTGAAGACCAAGTGCCCAAACTGCAGCCCCAAACCCACTTATTTATCACAGTGCCAACACTGCAATTAAACCTTAATATTGAGATTTTAGTCTAGAAAACACAGTTCACATATTAACATCTTTTGTCTTAAATGAGAAATATAGCAACATGCAGGCCACAGGTTTGCCACCTCTGCTACAAGCTATTACCTTCATTACCACTCCCATGATAGGCAGGTGCAGTGTCTTCCCTGGCACGGGAGCAGGCCATCTATCAACATCATTACATGCTGAAAAATACAACCGAAACATCTGCTTAGTATAAATAAGAATATTAAAATAGGGCATTAGAAATTAGAACTTTAGCCTAGCCAGTACAAAGTCCTGAGTTCGATTCCCAGTACCAAAAATACAGCAGCAACGAAGAAATTAGAACTTTACTTTTTGTAAAGCAGGAAAAATACACTGGAAAGAACAGAAAGTAAAAGAAAAGTAATACTGTGATGAAAATATCTTACATATCACTCAGAAAAACATATATTCTAGGTAGGATATAAATTGGTTAATACTTTTTTTCTTAGCAGTAATAAGGATTGAAGGCCTCACAGATGATAAGCACGCAATCTAACCACTGAGCTATACCCCCACCCTTTTTTGTGGTTTGTTTTGCTGTGCTATCTTGAGATAGGGTCTCACTAACGTGCCCAGCCTAGTCTCCAACTTTCAATACTCCTGCCTTAGCCTCCCATGTTAACAAGTTTACAGGCATGTGCCACCATGCATGGTAATAAAATTTTTGAAAGTGACAAACTAACATTTAAAGAAAGTTTTTCTACTCATTTATTACTACTAAAATTAGCTACAAATGAAAAGTCTGGGCGGTAGGGATTTAGCTCAGTGGCACGCGCCTGCCTGGCAAGCGTGAGGTCATGAGTTCGATTCCTGGTACTGGCAAAAAAAAAAAAAAAAAAAAAAGCCTGGTGTGGCAGCACATTCCTGTAATCCAACACTTGGAGGCTGAACCAGGAAGATCACTGCAATTTAGAGGCCAGCCTGGGCTCCACAGTGAGTTCAAAGCCAGCCTGAAGTGAGACTCTGTCTCAAAACAAACCTAATTTAATTAATCAATTAATTACATTAGCTACAAATACACATTATCTGGTTGGGGCCTTCCAACTATATCAAATTACTAGTGAATTCCATTTAATGGTACTGTGAGAACTGTCAATTCAAAATTCATTTATTAGGGGCTGGGGATTTAGCTCAGCGGCAAAAAGCGCCTGCCTGGCAAGCGCAAGGTCGTGAGTTCGGTTCCCGGTACCGGAGAAAAAAAAAAAAAAAAAAAAAAAAAAAAAAAAAAAATTCATTTATTAGGGGCTGGGGATTTAGCTCAGTGGCAAAAGCGCCTGCCTGGCAAGCACAAGGTCGTGAGTTCGGTTCCCAGTACCAGAGAAAAACCAAAAAAAAACAAAAAACAAACAAACAAACAAAAAAAACAAAATTCATTTATTATTATCCTAATAAATGACACCATCTACACTGTTAGAGGTGATAACAACAGATACTATTTTTTGGTGTTTGCAGAAGAAGATGCCATACAGTTTTGTATCTCCTTCCCTCATATAATCCTTAAATTATCCTCCAATTATTTTAAGGTCAACTTTTTGGTAAAAGTTTAAAAACTTCATAAAGGTATATAATTCATACAATGTTTAACTTACCTGCTTCCAAATAAGGTTCATTCTTTTCAAAATACTCTGGTGCTATCTGTTTCAGCACAGTGTGAAAAAAATGAATGTAAGGTAGTTTGCTGATCAAAACCAATGACTAGGGGGAAAAAAATAAACAATTTTTAAAAATTGTCTAATTATTACAATTTAAGTCTCCCATTCACATCTTGCAAGAGCAATTACTAACTAAATTCAACAAAAAGTATGGATTTTCAAATAAAAAGGCTTTTACAAAGGATGGTTAAAAGGAATCACAAAACTACAGCTGCATTATATAGAAAGGTTAACCTTATTACCATACTTTAAGACTACTAGAGCATATTCACAGACATTCCTGATCATCAAGAAAAAGAATTACCTATAAACAGACCAATGTCATGAATAATTTCCACAGTCTAGCTACAGTTGTCCACAAAACAGCAATACAAACAACTAGGAATATGAACTCTTCCTATTAAGGAAAGAAGAAATTGTAATGGTTTTCCCAAAGATCTATGACTACTGCATTGTACAGTTCAACTGTTATTTCTTTTTAAAAGACTGTACATTTAGAATGGACACAATAATTGGTAAGGTATTGGTGAAGTTTATTTACTGGTCATTCAAAAAAAGATATGCAAGTTTTTATTAGTTGTAACAATATTACAACCTAATCTTTCAGTTATTCTAGAATGTCAAAATTAAGAAGACTCCTCCATATACTAACTGGAACTTATTATCAGGATTCTAGCACAAAAATAGCAAAAATTCAATAGCACTTTAAATTCTAGGAACAAGTATGTATAATCTAAAGCCAGGCATGGTGGCACATGCCTGTAATCCCAGCATTGGGCAGGCTGAGGCAGGAGGATTTCCATGAGTTCGAATCCAGCCTGGGCTACTGTAGTAAGTTCACAGCCTGCCTGAACTACCCAGCGAGACCCTATCTCAAAAAGAGAAGGGAAAAAAAGTATAATCTAAAAGATAACAGACATTTGGCATGATGGCACATGCCTATAATCCTAGCACTCAGAAAGCTGAGGCAGGAGGTTCGTTGTGAGTTCAACAGCCTGGGCTACAAAAGTGAGTTCAAGACCATACTGAACTGTACAGTGAGACCCTGTCTCAAAAAGTCCAAAAAAATAAAAAATAAAAAAAACAGATGAAATACTTAAAACTTTAAAGACTGTTACATCTGTCTCTATTTTTCTTTCTTTTTTTAAAGTAACAGAGGTTAAGAGCAGAATATGCTTACTAGGAAAAGAAAGCTTCTGTTTGAGACAGACAGAAGGGGTCTCAAGTGGGTTGCCCTATTTCTGTTTTTCTTTTTCTATTTCTGTTTTTCTAATCATAACATAAAAATATTAAAAGCCCGGCATGGTGGCACATGCCTATAATCCAAGCACTCAGAAGGCTGAGGCAGGAAGATCATTGTGAGTTTGAGGGCAGCCTGGGCTACAGAGTGAACTCAAGGCCAGCCTGAACTGTGTAACAAGACCCTGTCTCAAGAAGACAAAAAAAATATTTTATTAGTATATATGAAAATTACCTTCTGAAAGTAGCCTCTCTTAAGAGTTTTATCTCGAACTTGTCGAAAATACACATATCCATAAAAATAAGCAGGGTCTTTCTATAAAAGAAGTGACAAAATAAAAGTATGTTATTTTATGTCTATGTACATATATAGATACACACATATATATGGCCATCTTTTAATATTAACATCAGGATCCTTTGTAAATCCCAATCATGATGTGAGGAATACACAAAGAACTGGTTATGCTTTACTATCAACAAACAGTAATCATGACAGGAGTTGCCTGATAAAAACCTGCTAATGTACTAACTGTACCAAAGATGAAAGGCTTATAATCTAAAATGAGACTAAGAATCATCTGAAGTGAGACTTCTCCCTTACATCTGAGTTTATATTCATTATTCATATCTATAGTAGTTATTGAAGTGAGAAAATAACCAAATTCTGTATTTTCCCCAATGCTGTATGTTTTAAATTCTGTTTCATTCCTCTCTCTCCCTCTCCCCCTCTGTGTGTGTATATATATATACACACATATATGTGTGTGTGTGTATATATACACACATATGTGTGTGTGTATATATATATATAGTTTTTTTTTTTTTTTTTTTTGGTCTTTTTGAGACAGTATCTCGCTATGCAGTTCAGTCTGGACTTGAGCTCACTTTGTAGCCCAAGCTGGTCTCAAACTTGTAATGGTCCTCCTGCCTTAGCCTCCCAAGTGCTGGGATTATAGATATGCACCACCACACCCGGCCCCTGCTATATATTTTTTTTAATTTTGAATTTCACAGGGATATAAGCCATGAGTCTTTTACTAAAATTAGATATCCTAATATAAAATTTCAAGAGAGAAAATAAAAGGCATTAAATGCCAATCTGAATCATATATACTAGTCAGTTATATGCAAGCCCAATAATAATCGAACTTTCTGAGTGTTTTTTTAACACACAGTTTGAAAGGTAATTACACTCTAACACCTATGGGGTTTTGAGATCCTAATGAAATAAACTTTGGTTCAATTCCTTATTTGACTGGTATTCCTTCATTAAGTATTTATTAACCTCCTCCTTCAAACATATTATGTTAACATAAGGAGATGCATAAACCACAGTTCTTCAAGATTACAATCTGGGGAGGGTATAAAAAGTACAAAAATGGTATGTAGTAGAATGGTGGGTTCCAGGAAAAAAGCACAAACTGTCACATGAAGGTCAAGGGAGAAGAGTAAAGACTACACAGAAGCAGCTGATTTTAACTGGACATTGAAGGATGCATATGGTTTACATGAAGACAAAGCCATTGGAGATGTAGAGGGCCCACAGGGGGAGGAAAACAGAAAAACACAAGCTTCCTTAAGAAAACCCACACGGGGCTGGTGGCACAGTGCCTGCCTGGCAAGCACAAGGTCCTGAGTTGCATTTCCGGTGCCAAAAAAACAAAATGAAAGGGAAAGGGGAAGGGGAAGGGGAAAGGGAAAGGGAAAGGGAAAGGGAAGAAAGAAAAGAAAAGAAAAGAAAAGAGAGAAGAGAAGAGAAGAGAAGAGAAGAGAAGAGAAGAGAAGGAAAAGGAAAAGGAAAAGGAAAGGAAAGGAAAGGAAAGGAAAGGAAAGGAAAGGAAAGGAAAGGAAAGGAAAGGAAAAGAAAAGAAAAGAAAAGAAAAAAGAAAAGAAAAGAAAAGGAAAGAAAAAAGAAAAGAGAAGAGAAGAAAACCCACATAGTTCAATTTGGCTAAAACAGCACAGGTAGTAAGACGACAACGGAAACTGGAAAGGTATCTTACTCTGATAGACCCAAATAGTGAGGACAGGGAACAGTGCTATCTTAGCTCTTTACCCATTCAGCAGTTTCTCATCATTTTATATTCCATTCATTTTTATACTATAGATGTACTTTAGCTGGCAACACTTTGTAAGGTAAGAGTCTGTTGGAAAAAACAAGAATTGGGAAGTCTGGGCAAATTTCTTATCCTCACTAGCCCTCATTTCCCTCATCTGCAAAAGGAGCTCTCTCAGAGGACTGTAGGGAGGATCAACGTGGCAATATGTGCTAATGCACACATGGTCTGGAACACAAAATGCCTTAATAAATAATAGCTATTATTGTCACTGATTGGAAGAGAATGTTTAAGAGACATTCCAAAGATAGAAATTTTGCTGAGAGAGTGTTCCTGCCACCAGCAGAACAGGAAGGTCAACTATAAAAGCTGACTTCAGGCCAGTGACATCAAGTTCGTACTGAGTGTGCTGACAAGACACCCAGGTGGAAATGCTCCTCACGCAGTGAGAGATGTAAGCATAGAGTACCAAGGAGAAGAACATACAGATTTTAAAATCATCTGAATTACTAAAGTTATTTCAATAAACAGTAACTATAAATAAAGCCTGTTAGAAAATCAAAAAGAAACAACTATATTCTATCGTAAAGTACAAGGGGTTACCACTGGGCATGACTACTCCAATTCTGGAAGGTATGGACTGTTTAGTGCCACTCCACCCCCACATCTAAACAAAGAATTATTAACAAAAGAAAATCACCTCAGCATGTTATGGTTGAGACACTGTGTCAACTTCAGGAGTCTAGAGGCTTGGCTAAGTGACTCAGCAGTTCTGCATCCTGGGGTGAAAAGGACACGCCCTTACAGCTCTGGAATGTTGTTCATTGTGTCAATTTGAGAAATTTAAAAAGTTAACTAAGTGACTGAACCAGGGGCCAGGGTCCTTACTTTATACCCATCCTGAGCCTGTGCAAGAAGAGGGCATGGAGATTATGTGAGTGCTGCTCGCCCCCTGGGTGGGGCAGCCTGCTTACAACAGAAGGGAGGAAGAGAGGCTTGTTCCCCACACCTTTTGGTCTTGCTGCTTTTGCTGTCTTCCGCTGAACGGTTATGTACCACTCTGCCTTGGAGCCAGCCAAGTATGCCCCGAAACCTCCACAAACTGTGAGCTAAATAAACCTTTCCTTCCTTAATTTTGGGCACTGGGTATTTTGTCTCAGCCAAGAAAAGTAACCAAGGCAGCATTCTAACCCATTTCTATAATTCACAATGGCATTGTATGTTTGAAGAACAATAACTTTATACAGTCTCAATCACTCACATGCTAAAACCCTGTCAGTTAGTCTCTTAAGAAATTCAGACATAGAGCCAGGGATATACCTCAGCGGCACAAGCGCTTGCCTGGCAAGCGCAAGGTCCTAAATTCAATTCCTGGTACCCTGCCCCCCCCAAAAAAAAGAACTGTTGAGCTGTGTGTGGTGATGCACACCTGTAATCCTAGCACTTGGAAGGCTGAGGCAGGAGGATCGTTTCAAGTTCATGACCAGCCTGGGCTACAAGGTGAACTCAAGACCGGCCTGAACGCATAACGAGACCCTGTCTCAAAACACACACACACACACACACACACACACACACACACACACACAAATTCAGCTATATAATAAAGTAACAAAAAAAGTAAAATATTTCTCAATGCTGTAAGAGGTAACTGAGAAAATGAGCTCTGATGTAGTAAGTTCTAAGAGTTTCTTCTCCTGTGAACATGTTTCTGTAACTACTTTCCAACCTTTAAGTAAACTGGCAAATCTTTGTCAAATTGATCCAGAAGACAGTGCAGCGACACCCTCCTCCCCGAAGACTGTCGAAATCTAAAACAAAACTGCGTATCTCCAAGACAACCTAATGCAAACAAAAATGAAACAAAGTAAGGGTAGTTTAGTAGAACATTTACTTATCTAGTTTCATCATTTTTAGAGCTGAAGGAACTCTATAAGCATTAAACATTCTGTCAGGTTTTAGAGAAGAAAAAAGAAATCCTAAAAGTTCAGGTGCCTTGCTCAAAACCATTTTTCCTGAATAGAAGCAAAGGCAGAAGTGAAACATGTCTTAACTCACAAGTCTCTTTGATTTTCCTATTTCATTTTCTCCATGCAATTACAAATTTTGGGAATCTACCTGGTATAATGCTTACTCACAAGCATAATAATGAGCAAAACAAACCAAACATAAAACCATGTAGGTAAAACAAAAAATGCAAATCAACCACAGCAATATATGCACATCTAAGTTTATAGAGACACAGTCTGTCATAACTAAATCTTGGAAACAGCCCAAATGCCCAGTATTGATCAATGGATAAAAAAGATGTGGCGTTTTTTATACAGTGGAGTATTACTCTGCCGTAAAGATAGATAAGCTTGAGACATTTCTAGGTCAACTGATGCCCCTCGAGATCACATTCTTCAGTGAAATAAATCAGACATGTGTACAAATGCAGCTTTGTTTCTTTGGTGTAAGAAACTGAAAGTGTAAATAAAGACCAAAATGTATAATAGATATTGTGAAATGGGAAGAAAACATTCAAGTGGGGAGGGGAACAAGGGAGGGAGGAAGAAGGGAAAGGAAAATGAGAAAAAGAAAGAATGGAAACTTAAGTTTTTGTAAATAAGGAGGGGAAGTGTGGTTGAAGGGAGGGTAGGAGAATGGGGGAAAAAAGAATCAAGTTAAATCATGTACTAGTACAAATTCTCTAAGATGAATGTGATCATTATGTATACCTAAAATGTACCAATACCGCTTCTCGGCCTTTTAGCTAAGATCAAGTGTAAAATGTACCAATAAATTTAATTTAAAAAAAGAAAAACAATAGTGTTTATAGATGCATAACTGGGTCATAAACATAAAGGTAAGAAATTGGGCACAGTGGTACAGGACTATACTCCCAGAATTCTGGAAACTGAAACAAGAGGATTCAAATTCAAGCCTTCCCAAGTGTTGGGATTACAGGCATGCACCACCACACCGGGCTTATACCCCTTTTTATTTTGAAACAAGATCTCACTAAGTAACCCAGGCTGGGTTTGAACTTACAATCCTCCTGCCTCAGTCATCCAGAGTGCTAGGATTACAGGAATGAGCCTCCACTCCTGGTTTACTTGTGGTTTGACAATAATAATAATAATAACAGTAATAATGATAAAGATACCACTTAAACTCACTTTCCTTAGCAACAAAAGTTAGGGGTACTACTAGATAATCTCTAAAGTCACTAAATTCAGCAGTAACGAAGATTATAAAATAAAACTTCATGACTGACCTATGACGGTACTTAATTCCAAGCACCTAATCTAATATGCTCACTAAGAAAACAAAAGACCAAAAGGATGGAAAAGTTATGCTATGGACAACAATGTTTTCTCATTATTCACTTAAAAATGGAAAAAATTTTCAAAAAATGAAACAACCCAGGCATGGTATGGCACACCTGTAATCTCAGCACTCAGGGGGCTGAGGCAGGATTGCTGCAAGTTCAAAGCCATCCTGGGCCACACAGTAAATTCAAGGCCAGCCTGAAATAAACAGTGAGACCCTATGTCAAAAACTACCCCCTAAAAAAGCAAAAAATTAATGTAAATAGACTTTTATCAACAAAGATATAAGCATTAATGTACATAAGCTATAAATGACAACTCCACAGAGACAAGACAAATTAGCCCAAATTCGTGGTCAAGAGCAATATAAATACTTCCTCTTAAAAACATAGTAGGTGCTAAGAGAACAGTAAATGAGGCCTGTAGGACCCCATAGCTTCAGTTTTTTGTTTTGGGGTTTTTTTGAGAGAGTCTCGCTGTGTAGCTAAGGCTGACCTTTACGCACTATGTAGCCCAGGCTGACTTCAAACTCATGGTGAACCTCCTGCCTCAGCCTCCCGAGTGCTGAAATTACAGGCATGCGTCACCACTCAGCTTCCATAGCTTTGGTAAATGTTCCATTTTCATGTATCTAACACTAATAGTCTCTAATAGTCTCTAATAGTCTCTAATAGTTTAGAAAACAGAACTAAAATTCCTACACCTTTAAAACCTAGAAATTTTCTGTAATCTTTCCCTTTTTTGTCTTGAGAGTGCTGGGATTACAGGTGTATGCCACCACGCTGGACTATGAAATGTTTCTCCAGTAAAAATCCTATAGATTCCTAAATCAAAAGTATCAAAACTATTCTGTCACTATTTTGGAGTGCTTTTCCCTTCCAGTAATTTAATAGGCAGTAACAGTTATTCAGTGCTTACTCTGGTGCCATGGCTGTTCTAAATGCTTTAGCTATATTAACTCATTTAGTCTCTGCTTCTCAGACAGGTCTCATTGTTATCCCTGTTTATAAGGAGGAAAGAAGAGCACAGAAAGGCTACATAAAAGCATCCAAAGAAACAAATCTGCCAAATGGAAGGTCGAGAATTTAAACTCAAGAAGTCTAACTTGAATGCTGAGATGCTTTACCAGTACACCGAATCAAAACAGACTTCAAATATACTACTTCTTTCATTTATATGTAATCTCTCAAGAGCGAGGCCTGTTGCCACATGCCTATAATCCTAGCACTTGGGAAGCTGAGGCAGGGGGATCACCTCAAGTTCACGGCCAGCCTGGACTACAAAAATAGTTCAGGATCAGACTAAACTACAAAGTGAGACCCTTTATATAAAAAAAAAATCTCTGAAATAGGAAAATCCATAGCGATTCTCCAACATAAAGGTAGATAAAGAACTGCCTGGGACTGGGTGAGAAGGATGGTGGTGGGAGTAGGAAGAAAATGGAACACAGTTTCTTTTGGGGGTGACAAAAACCTTCTAAACTTGGCTGTGGTAACAGCTGCACAATCCTGTGACCCTACGAAACACCACTGGGCTGTACGGGGCTGAGGGTGCAGCTTAGTGCAAAGTGCTTGCCTCGCCGGATCCCCAGCACCACACACAGCAGGACATCGGCTGTGGCGGTGCACGGCTATGATCCCAGCACGCAGGAAGCGGATGCGAGAGCATCAGGACAGCGTGGCCTATCACAGTGAATTCAAGGCCAGACTGCATTACATATTGAGACCTGCCTCAAAATAACACCCAACAATGAAAAAGAACCCACCGAATTATACACCTTATATGTAAATTGCATTTTGTAGGAACTGTATTCCAAAGTTTTTCTTTAGTGTCAATTTTTTTACTCACAATTCCAAAAACTAAAACCCTTCTGAAAAGGATCCCTCAAATGGAGACTTCTTGAATTTACTGGCTCCTGTGCCATCTGTTCATTCAAGGAACCAGTCCTTTCAGTCACGGCTTCTCCTTCACCAATGTCATGTAGTATGGCAGAAAGAGATCTCCTAGCCAGGCGTGGTGGTGCATTCCTATAATCCCAGCACTCGGGAGGCTGAGGAAGGAGAATTGCTGTGAGTATGAGACCAGCCTGGGCTACATAATGAGTTCAAAGCTAGCCTGAACTACATAGCAAGACCCTGTCTCAAAAAAAGAGAAAGGGATCTCCTTCTGTTTTAAAATTAACGTAGACATACAGTATTTTGTAAGCTTCCTTTACCCCTGCAACTCAACTGAGACTGCAAAGTAGAGAATATCTTCTTATACAAAAAATATCAAAGATTTGAGAAAAAAATCAACTGTTTTATTTATCTAGTTTGCTTTGAGACAGGGTCTCACTTTGTAGTGCACGTTGGCCATGAATTCACTATGTAGCCAAGGCTGGCCTCAAACTTGCAGCAATTCTCCTGCCTCAGCCTCCTGTGTGCTGGCATTATAGGTATGCACCACCATAGCCAGCTAAAAATCAACTGTTTTAATAGACAAATTTTTGTTTGTTTTTTGATTTGTTTTTGGTTTTTTTTGAGACAGGTTCTCACTACATAATTCAGGCTAGATTTGAACTCACTGTGTAGCCCAGGCTGGCCTCAAACTTGTGGCTGCCCTCCCCAAGTGCTGGGATTACAGGCCTACGCCACCACGCCTGGCTCACATCCAGCTTTTCATGGACAACTTTAACAAAAGGTATTTCTATATTGTCACAAACACAGCTTTAGAGCAGGGAGAATGCATTAAGACTGGGGTAAATCTTCAAGTGTTTGCCCTGTGTGTTGGCCCTCAGCTCCATACACTCCCACTCCCTGAGAGTACAGTGACTGATCTAGAATTGTGGAGAAACAGCACTTTAGGTCAGAGCTTCTCAAGTGTAGTCTGCACTTACGTCAGTCTACGAACTCTTGTTATTGATCCATGACCAAATAAACACACAAGTCCAAACTAAACATTTAGAAACTTTTGCTGGGTCTGATGGTGCACTCTTGTAATCCCAAACAGGGATATAGCTCAGTGGCACAAGCACCTGACTGGCAAGTGCAAGGTCCTGAGTTCAATTCCCAGTACCAAAATAAAGAAAGAAAGAGACTGACATTTAGAAGCTGGGGGTGGTGGTGCATGCCTGTAATCCCAGCACTCAGGAGGCTGAAACAGGAGGATTGTTTGGAGTTTGAGGCCAGCCTGGGCTACAAAGTGAGCTCAAGGTCAAGCCTGAACTGTATCACAAGACCCTATCTCAAAAAGACCAAAAAAAAAAAAAAAAAAAAAGAGCGAGATTGACATTTAAAAAACCCAACTAAAGCTAAGCATGGTAGTACATACCTGTATTCTCAGTATTCTGGGAAGCTGAGGCAGAAGGATGGCAAGTTTGAACCCTGTCCTGGCAACTTAACAATGCCTAGTCTCAAAAAGGGGGAGGATGGGGGCCTGGGGATACAGGGATACACTTCAGTGTGAAAGCCCTGAGTACAATCCCAGTATAAGAAAAATAAATAAATAAACCAGCCTACAGGACAAACAAAATACTGGCTCCTCAATACTGACAGTATGAGAAGTGTAAGTATATGACAATGCCCCTGCTACTTACAAACAAGAAAGTCTGTTGAGACGAAAGACTAATCTTTCCCTCAGATTCTTTACTGCTTCAAACTCTCTACAAAGGCTCAGTTTTCTTACTGGACATATTTAAAATACAGTGTTTACTATCCTTGGGTACCCAAAACAGCTTGGGCTTCAGGAACACCTAAATCTAGATGTTAACAAATATAATAAGGAGAGGAAAAATCTGACAATATGTATCACGGGCAAAACATATTTTAAACTTATACTCCTGAGATAAAAAGCCACTGGAATGGAATAAAAAATTGTAACCTAAAAACAATCCAGTGTTTTCTCAAACCCACAAGGATGTAAGGTGTGTACCATCAGGGGGATCGTAGGACTGCAAATCATTACACTGGAAATTCTAAAATCATTTTTATCTGTATAACTTTCTAGGGTTTTTTTTTTAATCTGTATAACTTCCTGTTGTTTTTTTTTTTTAATCTGCATAGTCTACAACGCTGTTTTACTTTTTTTTTTGATATACAATGGAAATACAACATTCATTTATGACTCCTTCCTAAAGTCTGTTCTACATCCAGATTTCCTTTCATAGCAATAAAAGCTATTTGGGGAAAAATTAAATCCATTTCAAAGTTGGCACAGTTTCCAACTTCCATTTAAAAGACACATATGAGAAACAAACTGGATAATCACAACTGGGATGTGTGATCTCAAAAATATACAAAACACAGTCTCTTACTGCCTAGATTAATGTTAATGCTCATCTGCTAAGATGGCAAGGTGCCTACTTTCAAAATCTGTTGTCAATTTTACTTGTAAGTAGCAGCCACACTTTGGGCGAAATGAACAATACTTCATTTGATGTATAGTTTATTAAAAGGGCATTTAAAAATATGTCATTCATATATCTAAAGTATTGGAAAATTTTTTATTTACATACATTTACACCTGAGTTAAAATGACACGTGAAAAGACTAACTTAAAACAAAGTATTTATTTGTTTATTTATGAATTTATCTTTGAGACACGGTCTTGCTATGTAGTTCAGACTGGCCTTGAAATTGCTAGGGAAACCGGGCTGCCCTTCAACTCTCGGCAATCGTCCTGCCTCAGCTGTGGTGCTGGAATTATAGGCATGCACCACCAGGCAACTAGGTATTTTAAAAAGCTATCCAAACATCATAGAATTTACTTCTTAGCCTTGATACATGGATGGACAGATTTTTTTCTCTACTGTCTTAAGATTTGTGCATTAAATCAACCAAAAACATTAATAAGAAAAAGATTTATTTCACAAGCATATGAAAGCATCACACACACAAAGTAAAAATCCTAAAAGAAAGTGAGACCTGTGAGTTTGTATACCATTTTACAATGGTTTTCAGTTGCAGAGAAATGACTACACAGGGGGGAAAAGGGTTTGGACTTCAAGGGGTGATAAATTACGTCAAGGTAAATTATGCAGAAAACTGATGGAACTGATAAGGATTATCTTCTCTTTTTTTGACATAGGGTCTCACTACGCAGTTCAGGCTGACTTTGAGCTCACTTTGTAGCCCAGGCTGGTCTTGAACTTGCAACGAACCTCTTGCCTCAGCCTCCCGAGTGCTGGAATTAGAGAATGCACTACCATGCCTGGTTGATAAGGACAATCTTAGTAAGATCTATTTATGCAGACACAAGTCATGGCCACCTCCAATAAGAGTCTTCTACAGTGATTCTGAAACCTTCTCCTGTTTCTGGTATGGCAAAGGGGATAGGCCAGGAGACACCTTCATACAGAGAAATGCAAGCCTTGCCTTCAGGCACACAGGCGGAGGGGAGAGAGCACTTTGCACCTGCTGCTTCTCCACCACGTTCAGCTCAAAATAATCTTTATGGCAAAAAAAGCATATTGGGGAGAAAAGGAGCATTTTTCTGATCTCCTTCACACTCATGTAAAGACACGTGAAGAGGAAAGTGTGCAATGCAATCCACTGGGATACCAAGCACAGAAAGTAGATTCATCCTGCAATCCACACAACTCAGATTACCTTGAGTCCTAGAAAATCAATCCAAGACTCACTACATTTAAAACTGTATGTGCACATTTCATAAAGAACATGTTAACTGAAATGAGGACAAATCCTAGAAGACCTGTATATCGTTATTTCGCTAATACACAAAAAAGCCAGTGGTGGTAGGTGGCACACACCTGGCATTCTCGGAGGCTTAGGTATAGAATTGAAAGTTTGAGTCAAGCCTGGGCAATTTAGCAACTTAGCAACACTCTACAGTATTTCATAACTAAAAATAAAAAAAAGGGGCTGGGGAGATCAGTGTGTAGGCCCTAGGTTCAATCCCCAGTTCTGAGCAAAAAAGAAAAGGAGGCAAAAGATACTGAAGAGTCTAATAATTACAGGTCAGAACAAAAGGTCTACTGAACTCTATCAAAGGCAAATATCTAGTTTATGAAGATAACAATGTTCTTTCACATATTTCACCAAGGCTGGTTTCCAACTATACATAGGCAAAAACTCTGGAAGCTTTTATATGGAAAGGAGAAAGATACTAAGAAAAATATTTTTAATGTCAGTGTCTCAAATCTGATTAACTGAGCTAACTTAACAATCCATAACAAGCAATAACAAAAGGAAAGGGAACTGGGATGACTGCTTTATAGGGTTCTGTGTGTGGCCTGAGAGGCTGAACGCTCTGGTCACTGTAAGCTAAAAAGCTGTTTTGAAAGTAAAACACAAGAGATAATCTGAAAGATATCAGCAATTAGGACCACACAGAGAGTTTGAAAGAGACCAGGAAAAATTACGCTTAAGAAGAAGTAAACACCTACATGGTGTTTTTATACACGAGCACTGCTCCAACTACCTTACATAATATATTAACCCACACGAACTACTCCAGATAACTGATGGCCATGTTTCATAACTACTCACCCTCTTGTTATTTTTTTAAACTCACTGCTTTCATAGAATTCCTGGAAAGCTCCTAAATTCTGAACTGAAAGTAAACTATGTACTGTAAGTTCCCAAACATTTCGAAGTTGTAATTTGCAATGTCTTCACAATTTTAACAGTTTATTGCTCCTTGATGTTTTACCTCATCACACCATAAACTATTTTCAAGAGCTGAACCATCTGAAATGAACAGTAACATGACTAGGCCTCATTAAATTGGGAATTAAAATCACTACTTTGTTGGGCTGAAATTCAGTTTGTATTCTAATGTTATTTCAATTAATTTTCATATATTAAGAGCATAACCAGTGTCCTTACTATAAAATTCAACATAAACACCACATGAAAAATAGTTACCTGAATTTGAATCTGGAAAAGACAAATAGCAAATATTGGTTTTCTGAAAAAGAAAACAAAAGCTATATGTGCTGACATACATACACACACCAATAAAAACGAACAGGAATATAACAATAGAGTATACAGAGCAGGATTTTTACTTACTTCTTTATCAGTAAGTTTGGAATGCTGAGGATAAATTACCTGGAAGAAAAGAGTTACATTTTGTTAGACATGAACATTAGTAGGCTACAACATGTTAGTTGGCTACCTTCAAATGACCTCAAGAAACACTGCACAGCCAGGGATAGTGGCATTCACCTGTAGTCCTAGCTATCTGGGAGACTGAGAAGGAAGGACTATTTAGGCCTAGGCGTTCAAGGCCTGCTTAGGCAACAGAGCAAGACTTCATCTCAAAAAGCAAACACACACACACACACACACACACACACACACACACACACACACATACTCTCTTCACAAACTTTAGCAGTGAAATGACAAGGTAGAACTGAGTAGGACTTACATTAGGTTAAAAAAATTTTTTGAGTCAAAATTATCTCTAAGATTGGTAACATCACAAATTACCAAGAAAAACTTACCAAATGAATAACTAATAACTCAAAGCTTAATTTTTTTAAACCTATAATCTAAAGAAAACTACCTTTCAGCTGAGATCTACTTCAAGAAATAATTTTCTGCCAGGTGTGGTAGCACACACCTGTAATCCTAGGTCTGGGAGGCTGAGGCAGAAGGATCAAAAGTTTGAACTCAGACTGGGCTATTTAGCAACTTGAAAAAACCCTGTATAAATAACTAAATAACTGTAAATAAATAAAAGGCTGAGGCTATAGCTCAGTATGAAGGTCCCAGGGTTCAATCACAAGTACTGAAAAAAAAAAAAAAGAAACAAGTTTTAATTGATTCCAAGAGCTAATACACATCAACAATTACTTATTAAGAAGGGTTTTTTTAAAAAAAGGATAAACTTGGAACATTTCTAGCTAAATGGATGTACCTTGGAACCATACGCTTAAGTGAAATAAATCAGACACATGCAAATACCACATGGTTTGTCTAGTGTGAGAAATTGAAAGGGTAAATAAGGATCAAAATGTATAACAGATATTGTGAAATAGGAAGAAAATGTTCAAATGGGAAAAGAACAAAGGAGGAAGGAGGGGAAAAGGAAGGGGAAAAAATTAGAAAAGAAGGAAAAAATGGAAACCAAGTTTCTATAAATAAGGAAGGGAAGTGGAGTTGAAGGGAGGGGAGGGGCATGGGAAAAAAAAGAAGATATATCATGTACAGGTACAAATTCCCCATGATGAATGTGATCACTATGTATACCTAAAATGTACCAATAAACTTAAGTACTTAAAAAAATAAAAAACTAAAAATAATTGTAGTTTCAGAAAGCTCAAGGACCATTTTCTACCACAAAGCCTACCCTAATTCTTTAAATAATCATTATCTCTCCCCTGTAGAGATTATTTAGTACTCGCAGTGACCACAGCACCTTCTGAGGGCAAATTCCTCCCCTCTGTCCCCTGTAAAGGAAGCAGTGCTGAGGCAGAGCAGCGATCCATCACCAAAACAAACACTGGTCAGTGCGGTGTCAAGACCCTCCTGACCTTAGTAGCTAAGCAATAAAGTTATCAACATGACAAAAGCAGGTACTCAAAACTTTTGACTAGTTGACTGGCCTTATACAGAAGGGACCTTTGGGCACTGGCAGACCTGCTTCTTCCCCATGGCACCAATTGTCAAAGAACAGTGACTTTCCAAAAGGATACCAGGGTACGGCACTAAAGGGTTGAGAGTCAGGCCCGCAACATATACATACATACACATCAGTATCCCCTGGATTCCAGAAACTGCCTGCCTGCTCTTATTTAACTCTTCAGCTAAAACAAACAAAACAAAACAAAACAAAACAAAACAAAACCTCTTCAGTTAATTCCTACAGAACAGGGATTCTTGGGCTGGGGATATAGCTCAGTGTCATAAGTGCCTGCCTGGCAAGTACAAGGTCCTGAGTTTGATTCCTGGTACCACCAAAACAAAACAAAACAGGGGGTCTTATGTCTTTATTTTTTCAGTTTAGATACCAACAGACAGAAGGAGCAGTGGTGTGTGCCTGTCGTCCCAACTGCTCAGTAGGCAGAGCTGGTTCGAACCCAACCACTTGGGCCAGGCTGAGCAATTACAGCAAGCCCTGCAGTCTCTTACCTAAAAAAAAAAAAGAGTGGGGAGGGTGGCACAAACTAAACCTCTAATCCCATTTACTAAGGAAACTGAGGCATAAAGATGACAACTCAAGCCTAACCAGGGCAACTTCAGCAGGACTACTCAAAATAAAAAGGGCTGCTGGGCGTGGTGGCACACGCCTGTAATCCCAGCATTTAGGAGGTTAAGGCACGAGGATCTTCGCGAGTTCAAGACCAGCCTGAACTACAAAGTGAGCTCAAGGTCAGCCTGAACTGAGTAACGAGACCCTGCCTCAAAAAAGAGGTAATAAAAATAAAATAAAAAGGGCTGAGGCAGTAGTGCAGTGGCAGGGTGCTTGCCCAGCATGCAGGAGGTCATAGGTTCAATGTGGAGAAGGGGTGACATTCTAATAGAATGTGCCATGGTTTGGAGAGTTTCAGTGTGTCCACCAGAAGTTCATGTGCAGGAAGCTTGGTCCTCAGTGTGGTGGTATTCAGGTGATGGAACCTTTAAAAGGTGGGGCCTCGTGGAAGAAAATCAGGTCAGGAGGGCACCCTGAGAAAGGATTAAATGTGGTCTCCAGGAGTAGATTAGTTCCTAGGACAAGGGGCTTGAGGACGTAGCTTGGTGAGAGAATGCTTGCCCAGCATGCACAAGGCCCTGGGTTTAATCCCCACCACTGCAAAAAATAAAAGAACTGCCTGGCCCCTCCATGGTCTCTTGCTTCCTATCTCACATTGTGAACCTCCTTGTATATGTTCCCACCGTGATGCCCCGTTGTCACGTAGCCATAAGGCCCTCACCAGAACTGAGCAGATGTTAGTGCCAGGCTCTTGAACCTCCAAAACTGAGTTTATGAACCTCTTTATACATTACCACAGTATGAGGTATTTTGTTACACCAATGGAAAACAGACCAGTACAGAATTCTCTGTACATGACAGGTGTTAAAAATACCTATCCAAAAATTCTCAGGCTGCCTATTAGAAGTTCCAAAAATATTTAACGATGCCACCTTCAAAGTTGATCCTGCATTACTTATAAAGGTCTCTGTAATTAGGCACTAACTTATTAAATAAGTAATATTATACACTTCAAATAAACTAGACCAAAAGGGTAATTATTTCATTATTTTCAGAAACACTTAATAATTATGTTTATATTTATTAAGTATTTCCCTTGTGATAAGGCACTGTGCTGCATTCATCAATCAAGCCTCACAAATACACTGAGAAGGGGGAATTATCATCATCTCATTTCAGCATTTACCTGTGATTATGAAGCGTCATCAGAATACCTACAATCAGGAAATTCAACATGTCACTGACATGGGTAACACTGGTCTGGGTTCAGACAACTGTTTCTCCAAACAGAAGAAAATGTCTACTGTGCATTTTATACAACATTTAAGAATTCTGTCATCCAAGGGGACTATAACAATGCTAAAACTATTTTATACAAAATTCACAAAGTAGCTTTAGTACTACTGCAGGTCTCAGTATCCCTTATCTGAAATGCTTGAGAACAAAAGTATTTCTGATTTGGGGCTTTTTCAAGTTTTAGAGTATTTGCACAGACTTTACTAGTTAAGCACCTCACCCCCAAAATCAAAATTCAAAATGCTCTGAAACATAAATATTTAAAATGTAAAAATATTTGGAGCTGGGTGTGGTGGCCCACACCTGTAATCCTCAGAAGGCTAAGGATCCTTGTGAGTTCCGGGCAGCCTGGGCTACAAAGTGAGCTCAAGGACAACCTGAACTGCACAGTAAAACTCTGTCTCAAAAAGACAAATAAATAAATAAAAATTAAACATAAAAATATTCCAGTTCATGAAAAATAAACTTTCAAAGTTTCAGATTTTGGAGCATTTCAGGTTTTGCATTTGGGGGTTAGGGATGCTCAACATGTAAGATAAAAGACTTTGGGGAATAAAACAAGCTGTCAGTGTCAATAAATTAGAAGTTCAAGTTACCACTTGCATTTCACACATCTAATTTGCTTCAGTTGTCTCTAAATGGTAAATAAAAGTAAAAAAATAATTTTTTGCCCAGGATAGCATAGTATAGTGGAGGAAAAAAATCATGCTTTGGTTTCAAAAGAATTGGGGTCAAATCTTGGCTTATTAAGTGTGTGATTTAGGGCTGGTTACCTCTGAATTTCAATTTTTTTATTTAAAAAGGCTTATGTGGTGCATGCCTGTAATCCCAGCACTCTCACAGGCTGAGAAAGATGGATAAAAGGTAAGATAAAACAAAGTTGAACTTCTCTAGTTTTTCTAATGCTCATCTGTTTTCCAGATCTCTTAATAAGAAACTACTAGTTAGCACCACAAATGATACATTAATGGAAAAATTAGTAATATGGAATTATCAGAAAGCAATCAAACATTAATGGCCAGTCAGAAGTAGATCAGCTAGCCCGCCTCCCACACGTCAACTAATCAAAATGTTTCAAGCCGGTTCTCAAACTTCTTATCCCCTATGACCTCTTTACACTCTTAAGATTTTTTTTTCACTCTTAAGATTTTTTGAGGTCCCCAAAAGCTTTTATTTATGAGTTATATCTATCACCATCCACCATACTAGAAGCAAAAAGCAATCATCTACTCAGCACTCAGGAGGCTGAGGCAGGGGGATCCTTGATAGTTCAAGGCCAGCCAGGGGTACATAGTAAGTTCAAGGCCAGCCTGTAATACATGGACCCTGTCTCAAAAAAATTTTATTTTATTTTAAGTTAAAAAATAAAAGCAGTATTTCAAAATATTTAACTTACCCTTAAAAAGTCAATTTATTACTTGCTAACACAAATATTCTATTTTATGACAAATAATCATGTATTTCCAAACCAAAGCTGGGCGTGGTGGCACACACCTGTAATCCCAGAACTCGGGAGGCTAACGCAGGAGGATCACTTGAGTTCAGAGGTCAGCCTGGGCTACGTAGTTAGGTCAGGGGCAACCTGAACCATACAGCGAGACCCTGTCTAAAAAAA